CCCCCCATGTGCACACTCTCTCTCTCTCTCTCTCAAAAAACAAAAAGAGAGAGAGAGAGAGAAAGACACTGAAATCATACAAGAGGGAGCCAGAGAATTTTGTGGGAAGGACCAGCCAAATGAAATTGAGAGTTTCGTTGACATGTGCTGGTCCTCACTTCCATTCCTGTCCCTGAGGACCACCACGTACCTTGGGGACCTCCCCCTTGCTGCCCGGGGGCAGTCTCAGGACCCAGAAATTTCGGTTCCTCAGCAGGTTCTCCATGTTCTCCAGCCGCCTCTGCAGCAGCCCGTACTCCTGCAGCAGGGTCCCCAGCACGGCCCACTTGCTCTCCATGTGGTTGCTGAACTCCACGGCCGTCTTCTCGCAGTCGGCCAGCTTCTTCTCGGCCGTCCCCGTCCGCCCCTCCAGATTTAGCAGCTGGCTGGCCTGGGCCTCCACCTTCCTTTCCACGGCCTGGATGGCGGCCACCACGGTCCAGAGTGAGATCTCTGCCGTGGGCAGCTGGGGCTCTCTCATCATGCGGTCAGGGAAGACAGGTGCCCTGTCTGGGAAGGGCGGGAACTGGAAAGGCATCGGTCGCCGGGCATCCATGTCCCACTCTTGAGCCTGTGTGCAGGGGGAGAAAGTGACAGCGGGGGCTGAGAGCCTATGTGAGGCAGGGAGGGGGGCCTGGGAACAGAGAACAGCTAACCAGATGCCGCAGACTCTCGCCCCTCCACTGTGCCCCCCGCCCCAGGCTATGGTGTTCATTCCTGGCCCCAGCACTACCTCGAGGAGCCACCCGGCCAACCTTCCCATCAAGATCAGTCACTCGTTTACCCACGTGACCCTTCCTAAGCCAAGGCTGCAGACCCCCGCCCACAATGTCACCTGCCGCTTTCACAGCGCAGCTGTCTCCTCGGGGGCTAGACCTGATGATGAACGCTCTCGAAAGTCACCTAGTACCTTCTGATTCAAAGTAAGAATTCTGGCCTAAGTCACCTGACCCTAATCTCCCCTGCAATCTCCAAGCAGGTTAGGGCAAGAATGATTATCTCTGCTTTAAAGATGATGGAACTGAGGCACAGAGATGTGGCTGGTCATTCCACGGCTCCTGGTGTCACTGCCCACCGGAACAGAGCTAGGTGCTACAGGTAACAAGAGCACGGTTCAGGTAAGTGCTGCCCCCATACCCGGCAGCTGTGACCAAGGGAGACCCCAGAGAGCCTGAGTGAGCAGATGAGCAGCCTTTTTTCCATATCCAACTCCTGATTCATATTTTCTAAAATGAAAATAGGTTTGCCAAAAAACGTCATTCACTGAAGAGGGGACACGCCTGAGAGGAGAAGACTTTCTAGTCCGCTTCCTGTCCCTGGAAGGTGAGGCCCCATGGGTCCGCGTTGGGAGCTGAGCCCTATGGCCAAGAGAGGGTGTTCCCAGTTCACTGGTGACCCGGGAACTGGCCCCATACCGTATACCAGTACCCAGGGCTTCCTGGCCAACAGCAGGGCTGATAACCAACTCTCCTTGCCATGTGGGATGGCAGGTGTCATTTTCTTTCCTCCCTGTTGCTGCTGACGAGGCCCTCGGGCTGGGCAAAGCGGAGGCCTGCTGCTGAGAGGTGACGTGGGCAGGCCAGGGACACGCATGCCAACTGCCCTAACTCAGAGCAGCTGTGATGGCCACAGAGGAACACCCCACAGCTTCCAGGGACTCGCTCCGAGACGTGGGATAATGGGAGCAGGGCCCTGGGTGCCAGACCCTGCTAAGTAAAGAGACCATGTTTCCATCAAAGCCATCCATCTGAGCTCATGCAGGCCTCGCTCCTGACGGCCCAGAGAAGGAGACAAGGGCTGACAGTGGAAGTTCAGAGCGTCACCAGGCCCAAATGACTTTTGGAAGGTTGGAGAGGTAAGGCTGAAAAATGATCCGACACAGCAACTCCTGGCTAACTGGTCAGAGCCGGTGGAGAAGCAGGCTAGGAGCAGAGGGGGCTTCTGCGGGGCCAGCCCCGGGTAAGTTCCCACACTCGCCCGGGGAACACGACTCCGCTCTCGATCAGCACCACCGCCTCACGTTGTACACAGTACACAACTCCAAAGCACTGACTCTCAAAACTCGGGCGCACACTGAGATCCTTACGAAGCTTCAAGAACTGACGGGTGTCTACTCTCCACCCAGAGACACCGATTTCACTGGCTGGGGACGAAGTTTGGGCGTCAGGAGTCTTAAAAGCTGCTCAGGTGACTCCAGTGTGCAGCCAAGTTTGCCAACGGCAAAGTCACCTCTCAATGGCCCCCTTCCTCCGTCACACCCGGTGCAAAGGAAAAGTGAATGACACGTTATACTTGGTGAGAGATGGCAATACAACATTAATACAAATCTTTTTGTCCAGGTGGCTAGGGTGTGAACCCGATGGGGCACTCCGGTGCGCACACAGCCGGGACCCGGGCACAAGTGCGCGAAGGGGAGCCCGGGCCGGGGTGCGTGCCGCGGTCACGGCTCCACTAGGTCCCCGCCGCCTTCCCCCCGGGGCCTCCTCTGGGCGCGGGCACCGGGCCCGGGCAGCAC